GACTTTTTTACTTGAAATAAATCAAAGAATCGCTCTGTTGAGTATGGCAACATACTTAATTAACAGCCTGTATATACATCTCATACACATAAATATATATGTATATATATATATATATATGCATATATGCACGTATATATATTAGGTCCTGCGCACAATGAAAGAAATGTTCACGCAAAAGAATATTTTGCTGCTCCAGCTAAAATTATAGCTGTTTTCTGTATCTGATAGAAAATTATATATATCATACGCATAGAATTTATAGCACAAATCTAAATTCTATCTCTGTCATCTATATGATTAGATACAACACATATGGTAGTACTTGCTAGAAATTTATCTATTTTAGCTATTTTTCGTACTTAGATAATTTTCGCTATAAGTACAAGATCACTTTTTTGAGTGATTAAGAACAAGAATAAATATTAAATAGTAAAGAAAGGAAAAAATACAGGAATAGAGATTGCGTGAACGTAACGCACAGTGTAAATATATGTATATAAATAAGAGATATATAATAAATTTTAGCTTTCTCTCATTTCATATTTTATTCATGTATGTTCATTGTACATTACGTTTAATTTCTTTGTTTATATTGTTTAATTTCTACTTCTAATTTTTTTATTCTCTAATATTTAATATTTATTCGTGCTGTGTAATATCTTATTAATATCCATTGTGCGTTACGTTTAAACTCTATTCCTAATTTTTTTTAGTTTTTTAATATTTAATATTTATTCTCGTTCCTAATATTTCTCCGATTGTACGCAGAGCTTTATATTATATGTACAATGTTAAATCTAAAATGTCAAATTTAACCTAATGTGGGTCGCCACTGCTCCTACTAAATATATCATTATTTTTTACTAAAACGATAATTAAATTTGATATTATATCGTGTCTTTCTCGATAATTAAATTTGATGGTGTCATACACTATATAGTGTCAAATTGATACCGTATAGTGTCAAATATAACCATTGTTTTAGTATAAAATAACAATATTGAGTAGGAGCAGTAACCATTCACATCAAATTAAATTTGACACTATAGATTTAACAGTGTAAGACGATTCTATTCTTTTTTTGCGATCTATTTAAAACGTCATTAGACTTTTTCCAAAGACAAAATCATTATCTCATTCTCATCAATTATAATTTAGAAAACTGAGAATAATCAAAATTTTCAATTTATTTAAGGATGTTTTATACATATGTTCAAAATGATAACAAAATTATGAAAAAATTACAGATTATTCTAAATTATATTTAAAAACAATACGACAAATTTGGCGACAGTTTACTATCTGGATCATAAGCTATTTTAATAATTAATATTTTTTAAATCTGTGCTCTAATAAAAATGTATGGAAATGTACTATATAAAATAAATGACAAAAATCTCAATTTTTTAATACAAATATATAATGTATTCAAGATTATTTATGTATAGAGTTACATTGCGATGCACGAATTAGTTGTCCAGTAAATAAAATATTTATTTATTCTATATCTTTGTAACTAATCAGTAAATCGCAATGAAACTTTGCATAAGTTACTTTGAATATTTAAAGAACTAATAAAAAAAAATTTAGATTTTTGTTATCATTTTTAAAATTTTAATTTTTAACAATAAAAATAATAACAAATAGAATAAATAAACAAAAATGTGTTATTAAGTAAAAATGTAATCTTATTCACACACAACTTTCATATGTATGTAGTTTATTTGAAGTGTAACTATTAAACACATTTCTAAATTTAATTTTCTTTGCAGGGACCGTATGTGTGTGTGATACATCTTTAATAGCAAAATTTCTACAGAACATGTGAAATTATTTCCTTACAAAGACAATAAGCTAATTCATGCTTGAGCAAATATGCAATGAAGACGCGATCCGTATTGCGAATAACATTTTTTACAACACACGTGGAACGCGCAGAAACATCATTTTATCTTAATTTATTTTAATATAATATATATTTGCAATTTCCAATAATTTTCAAAAATTTTTCATATACGTCGTGTTTATATATACATTTTATATCCGCTACTTTATGCATAATAATGTTATAATACTTTATACATAATAACACTTTATGCATAATAATATATATTATTAATTTTTATGACACGATCGATTTTAATACACCACGTGATCCTTAGGGGGTCAGCAAAACTAATTTACCGAAAAAAAAGTATTCTCAAACGCACTTTTAAATGTACCAGCAAGAACGCCGCGTGCGACATTAATTATCGGGTATTATATCTAGTAATTCGGTCGATGCCGACGTAGGTGTAAAAGGAGGCCGCATTACGATGATGCAGGATAATATATAGATTTATGTACGCGTGATGAGATTATCACTGGACAGATTATAACGCATTATTTGTGCGTGACATTTTCTCGACACGTTTTCTCGTGCGATCTTCCACTGAGAGTAATCTCCCCAACGCGTGTGAACGATCTCGCGATGCTTTTTCACGCTATTCCTGCACGTCCCTTCTGGATACTTTTGATTTGATAGAGGCACAGAACGTGGTTCTTCAAAAATGTATAGAAAAAATGTCAACTCCGGCAAAGTCAATTTACCTTTTCAAAAAAAAAAAAAAAAAAAAGATTAGGTATTCTGGGTATTCATAACTTTAGCTAAAACATAAATAATTTTGTTGTGTTGTGTGTAGGTATATTACCCTCAGAACTAGCACATGCAAATACGATAATACATTAGCAGTGTTTTCTGTTAACTAAATAAAATTATCTAGATAATTATATAAATAAAGAAATGGCTTTATTTTAGAAATGGCTATATCTAGATTATTAAGAATATAGATTATCTTTATCTTATCTTAGATAAAAGCTTTTTCAAATTAATTAAGATTGTAGAAAAGTATTGCAAAAAAATTTCTATATAACTTCTAGTAGTAATAAGAATTTTTTTATGATATAAATAAAACTGGGATTAATACGATATTAGTCATAATTCAAAGCGACATTGAAGTACTTTCATATTTGGGAGATAAATCTAAGGAATTAGATATTCTTAATTTGTATCCACACGTCAAACAAATTTTTTTTAAATATGATACATCATTGCCATTATCAGTTCCTTTTAAATATGTTTTTTTATAGTACTGTTTAAAGCATATTTGAAGCATTAAAAACATATTTAAGAAGAAATACAATATGTTTTATTCTTAAAAAAAAGTCTTTTTTTATCAATCCTGGTAGAAACCGTTTGTTAGACGAAATGTAAGTTGACAAAACTTTTATTCGTAAAAAATAAAGATTAATGAAAATATAAATACCTTTTTTGTATCCTAATGCCCAATTTCTTCACTTCCAGATAAATTGTGGAAAACCTTATCTAGGAGATATCTCCGTTGAATTCTAGGAGATATCTCTTGGATAAAGGTTTAGCTAGAGGTGAAGAAATTGGGCATAAATCGTTTTACTGCCTAATAGTTAGTTAAAAACAAAATTATCTAGACAAAAATTTTTTTAATTTCATCTTTTATCTAGATAAATGTAAAATTAATCATCTTCATCTTATCTAAGATACATTTTTGCGTGATTTATCTTATCTATATCTAAATAATTTTTAATTATCTAAGCGCAACATTGTATATTAGTATGTATATATTATCGTTTATATAGCAATTTAATATAAATATATTATTATCTACACATATGTCAGTTCTGAGGGAAAAAAATTTATATGAAATATAATCTTTTCATGAAGAATTTTTTGGGCTAAAGCGAGAAGTCAATTTAACCGCAGAATAAGAAACAAAAAATTAATAAGCGATATTCTACAATTAATCAGAGTTTCAAGTTGTAAGCGTCATTCATCAATTTTATTTTCTAATAAGTTATCTTCCGAAGAAATAGAATTAGTGCGATTGATACGTTTGAAATTTGGTTTGCAAAAATCATAATATATATATGGAAAATTAAATAAACTAGTGACTTATTGTCTCGTGTATAAAGTAAGACTTCTGTATCACAGTTTAATTTGTTTTCGATGGACACGATATACTGCTAGTGAGCGTTTCATTTGTATGCGCATAACGGCTCATTTAAATATAAAGGAGCGGCGATGAGGATCGTATCTAACGTTTAGCCTCCGGTTTACCATTTAATTAATTGTACACGTGTATCCTGTATACGGATATGAATAGGGACACGGATATGGAAGCATGCGACATGTATTCAGTAAATTTATTTTAAACGAAAAGTATAGATTGAGTTTCTCGAAGATTTTAATTAATGCATATGATGAGATTGCGCTTTTCACCAGTAGATAATTTTTTTACATCGCTACAAGGAAAAGGAAAAGTAGTTTAATACTGAAAAAAATGACGAGAAACGAGATTATTCTATCATGCCGATGGTCCTTTCATTCAACATTGTGAAAACAAGTATCTCTTCGGACTTGGCAAAATATTATTTTTATACGTTATTTTGGCGCCATGAAAGAAGTTAATTGTAATATCCTATTTTAAGTAGATTGATGACAAATAGCATGTTTCATCAAAGATATTAATCTCCGGTCTAACATTTTAATTAATAAAGATAATTAGCAACATTCTTTATCGATAATAATAGAGAAACGTAAATATCTAACAAAATTAACTAATCTAAAATAGATCTTCCTAGACTTCTTGCTTTATAAATCTGTGAATATTGCAATTGTTTGAAAAAAAAAGAAAAAAAAACATAATACTGATAAAATAGAAAATTACACCTATCCATTTCTTATATCTATTAAAAACATAAAAGAATTTACATGGATAAAAAATATTTTCAGATAGGATCGAATAAAAAAACAATATTTTAATCTTTATTTTTATATATGACTGTATTTTTACAATGTAAGATATTTGCCCATATCTTTCAAAAATAAAACATGTTTTCATAGAAAGAAAGTAATAATATATAATATATTATCATTATCTATGTATTCTACAAAATATATAAATAAAAATTTCAGTCTCTCGACAAGAATACATAAAATCCCATGATTATGCTCCAATATTCTTTATTAATCGTCAACAATCTTTTTTAAGATATGTGTAACGCCATATTGATATATGGCAGCATTAATTTTCTTTAATTTGTTAATCTCTTTCTGTAGATCGTCCAACTTCTTCGACATCTGATTCGATCCTCGAAAATCGTTACTTCCTTCTACATAAGATTCGAAGTTCAGGATCTCCGCCGAATTTCGTCCTTGCAAGCGTGGTTTAAGAACAGAGGCTCGAAAATTATCGAATCCTTTGGCGAAAAACGCAGCGGTAACTGGTCCCTTATGCTTGAGTGTCCTGAGCACCTGCCGGCTGGCAATGTCCCAGACATGGACTGCACCGTCGGTAGATCCAGACAGCAGAGTACGGCAGTCCACGGATACCGACAGGGCGGTCACGTTTGACTTGTGTGCCTGGAACACGGCGCTCTCTTCGCACGAGCTCACCGTGACGTGATGCTCGACTCCACGTGGCGGTTCGTGTAGGTTACACTGGAATATCTCGCCGGTTGTGCAGCCCACGAAGAGTTCGCTCTCGCGAACGTTCACGGTGACCGCTGTGAGCGGCGCGTCGAACACCAAGGAAACCAGAAGAGCTCCACTGCCAAGCTCATAGATGTTCGCGGTTCGATCTAACGAGATTGTATACAATCTCGCGCGAGCGTCACCATGACCAAAGTGCAGATCCCTGACTGGCAAGCTATGATTAGAGAAAGCGTGAACGGGCGAACAACGCGCGTCGTTCAGCGCACTATAAAGAGACCATACGAACACCAGACCGTCTTCGCCAGCGCTGGCGAATAACGAACCGTCCTTCGTAGTGGCCAGACAACTGACGGTCTGATAATGCCTGGTCAGATTGACCAGTAGCCTGCCGTTGCACGTCTGCCAGATGAACAGCTTCTCTCCCACGGAGGCAATTATATAGGATCCATTTGGTGTGCAGGTCAAGGCGTTGACTTTACCTGGCGTATTCAATCGAATGTTGGGCAACGGTGACGGGCTGTTCAGCGGCCAGATGTGTATACGAGGTCTCGTGGCGTCCGCCCCCAATACGTAACTGTCGCTCAAAAGCTGAAGGCTGCGATGTCCAAGTGCCGTCGCGTTCTTGTACACAGATAATAGTGAACCGTTCCGGGGATCCCACACAGCGGCGCTCCAACTCTCCCCAGTGGCGTCGCTCGTCAGGATCACTTCTTTCGCGTCAGTTACTCGGTTCATTTTTTAGTCTCAATTAACTACACTACTATACTGTATCAATAACAATTACGGCCGTGAAGTTGACCTTGCCATTTCTTCTTCTTTTATGAATATCAATTGTTATTGAGAAACATCACTCTCTTTCAACTTGTCCTTATCTTTATTCCTATTGCTTATAAACACGTGGTACGGCATACAGAATAGGTTAGGTACCTCCTGTCGAAGATATCCAATTCAGATGGAGCTACTATCTCAGAATTTTAGACACCGGTGTTGTCGCGTCTGTCGGTCACAATCGCTTTAATTGATACTTCTGTTAGAAAAGGATAGAAATATTTTGTGAAGAATATTTAAAAAATACGAAACAAAAATTTCTTTGTATTTTTGTTATTCGATTTATTTTTTTTTTTGTTTTATCAAACAACTCTTAGCCTTCAGGTCATCGTTGAATACACGTAAATCATCACTTTCTAACGCTTTCCAATCATTTTCTAAAATCATAAATAGTACACACTATACATACGACGGTATCACGTGACATCTCTGAGAGGTATTGTATTTCGAGATACTTTTTTGTGTGCCTTTTTACGTATGATTAGTTGACTTTGAATCTTTGCAAAATACGAAGAGGAAAAGGAAATCGATTGAAAGGTGATCTCCTTATTAATATCACGGTATTGTCGACGTAAAAACCGATCGCGTTTTATTATTTACCACGCAATTTGACTCGCTAGGTCATGACTGGAAGGTTATACTACGTCGCGATTACGTCAATTCTTTGATTATTTTCACTTAAGGCCGGTTTTATCATCTCGAGTATCTACCGTGATTAATCAATTCTGCTTAACGCCAAACACGATTAGTCCCAATGGAATAACCAGCTGATTAAGTTAATCGGGAAGTAATAAAAATCATCAATCTTTTCTTAGCTTGTTTTCACTTGCTCATGGGATTTATTGATGATGAATTGCAAGAAGTATCACAGCTCTGTCATAATGTTGTTGACGGAAGTCGCCTCGTCTCTTGCGTACCGAGCATGGTCCGCGTCGAAATAACGTAAGAAAACTCTATCATGCTTTCTTCACACTGTCAAAATAGCTTCCTATCATTGCTTATTATGATTTGTGTTTTGCAGAAAAACACCGTTCAAGCAACTTGTTGTGTGCATCCAATTCCAAAAGGATTATCCTGCATCGCCGTTGTTTGTTGAGTTAAAGAGTAAAACTCTGTCCGCGAAGCTGCTCGATGGACTAACAGAGGTCTGCGAAAAAGAGTGCAAGCGTTTGTTGCATAAAGCACAGGTTTATACTTGGAGAGATTTATATAGTAGTAACTAGTCACATATACAAGTTATTTACATTTTATACAATAAATTTGTATATTTGTAGATATTGCCAATTTTAAAATTTATTAGGAATTTCATTGAGGAGAATCCTCTCATCTGCTGCTATGAGGAAATATCAATATTGAAAAAGCTTTTAGGGGACAAGGACGAGTTCAAATTAAAGCAAAAGAATTCTTCCATCAATCTAACGCTACATCAAGATTTGTATCATTTTAAGACTAAGCTTGAAGTGCCGGATAATTATCCTACCAGTTGTATTATGTATGTTCAGTATTTTTTTTGAAACTATTATAACAAATTCAAATCCAATGTGGCTAATTTATATCATTTGTTTACAGTTATAGTAATGTTGATACAAATTTTCCGCCACTGTTCAATCGCTATCTAGTTGGACAAGGAAGAGAATTAGCAAGGCAATGTGTCGAGCCATCACTGAGGAAACAACAAAACCCGTTTATACCATCACCATCATTAAACACAGTTGTTTCCTTTCTCATCAAGTAATTTTTATTTTTACATAAAATTTTTATTACTTATATTTTTAGCTATTAGTTTTTTTTTTATTTTATTACATTTTAATTTGTGCAGGAGTGTAAAAGCTTTTCCACAAGAACTCTGTCAACATTGCAAAGTAAAGTGCTTGCCAACAGATCCCAAAGAGATTGTAATCGACGAAAATGCGGATTTCCACGCCGAAAGACTTTATTGTGGTCATCTCTTCCACTTAAAATGTCTCGTGACATACATGAAGACTCCGCCATTCCATGGTAAAAATAAGTTTTTTATTTAGTCAAGTTATATTATAGAAAAATTAAAAATCTTTTTATTTTTTGTGTTAAAGGGGGTAAGAAATGTCCAAGTTGCGGTCAACGCGTTTATCATGACAAATGGGGATTATCTGACAAGTTAGCAGAAGCCCGTTGGGCCCATCAAGAGGCACGAATGAGAGAATTGGCAGAAGTTGAAGATTTTTTCAACTAATATACTCGCATCTTGCAAACGGGTGAAATATGAGTTTCACGATAAACTTACTGGAAGAAGGGATGTGCAATTTTTTTCAAAATTATGCATCGCGATTGCGATCTTAAAAATCGCATGAACACAATCATTGCATCACCACTTTTATATATATATATATATATATAGAGAGAGAGAGAGAGAGGGAAGAGTGATCTAAATCGGACCTATTTGCAGTTTTTGCTCTCTATAAGGCATAAATAAAGTCCGATC